GATGTTGATGACGATGGTGATGATGTTCTCGATGGTGAGTATAGGGTTGATGATGATAGTGGTGGTGGTGGCGATGATGCTGCTGATGGTGATGATGATGCTGAAGATGATGAGGATGAAGCTGCTGCTGCTGATGATGACGGTGGTGATGACGATGACTACGATGATGAGGGTAGTGTTGATGACGATGATGAGATTGATGATGATGGCGGTGATGGTGGCGATGATGCTGTTGTCGATGATGAGGTGATGCTGATGATGATGATGTCGATGATGATGGTGGTGATGATGATGCTGCGGTTCATGATAATGATGACGGCGATGATGATACTGATGCTGCAGATGCTGATGCTGATGCGGAAGATTATGCTGCTGGTAATCAGGAGGATGAGGATGATGATGGTGATAATGATAATGCTCATGACGATGATGATGATGACGATGATGGTGGTGGTGGTGATGGTGATGGTGATGATGCTGATGACGATGATGATGATGATGATGATGGTTGTGATCATGATGTTGCTGCTGATGATGTTGGTGATGATGATGATGATGATAATGGTGACGGTGGTAGTGGTGATGATGATAATGGTGATGCTGATGAGAATGATGATTATGATGATGACGATGCTGCTATTGATGCTGATGCTGCTGTTGATGCTGATGCTGCTGCTTTTGCTGATGTTGATGATGATGCTGTTGATGATGATGGCGATGGTGATGGTGATGATGATGGTGATGGTGATGGTAATGGTGGTGGTGATGATGAGGAGGAGTAGGAGCAGCAGCAGCAGGAAAAGAAGCAGGAGCAGGGGGGAAAGGAGGAGGAAGAGAAGGAGGAGGACGAGGACGAGGTCGAGGGGGAGGGGGAGGGGGAGGAGGGAGGAGGAGGAGGAGGAGGAGGAGGCGGAGGAGGAGGAAGGAGGAGGAGAGGAGGAGAGGAGGAGGAGGAGGAGAAGGAGAGGAGGAGAGGAGGAGGGGGGGGGGACAAGGAGAGGAGGAGGAGGTGGAGGAGGAGGAGGAGGAGAAGGAACAGCAGGAAGAGGAGAGGGAAGAGGAGGAGCAGGAAGGGATGTGGGGACAGCAGCAGGCGAAGGAGGGAGCGAGAGCGGGACGAGGAGGCGGACGGCGGCCGAGGGCCAGCTTCTCTGGAGGGCGGGCGGGTCGGAAGGACTACTGGGTCAGCGAGCTCGACGGCTCGTGCACCTTCAGGGCTTGGTACGGCGTGGTCATCGCCAGGCCAGCCCCGTCGCTTCTTTATCCAGGAGGAGGAAGGGAGAGGAGGAGGAGGAGGAAGGGAGGAGGAGGAGAGGAGGAGGAGGAGGAGGAGGAGGAGGAGGAGGAGGAAGAGGAGGAGGAGGAGGGAGGAGGAGGGAGGAGGAGGAAGGAGGAGGAGAGGAGGAGGAGGAGGAGGAGGGAGGAGGAGGAGGAGGAGGAGGAGGAGGAGGCCCCCCCCCTGGCCCAAGCCGTTCTGGTTCAAGGCCCGTCTCTTCCTGGCAATTCACCTCCGCCTTCTGATGTGGATGCTCCTCCTTCTCCTCTCCTGCTCTCCTGCCTTCTCCTCGTCTTCCCCTCCTGCCCGTCCTGCCCGTCCTGCTGCTCCTCCTCCTCCTCCTCCTCCTCCTCCTCCTCCTCCTCGTCCTCCTCCTCCTCCTCCTCCTCCTCCTCCCCCTCCTCCTCCCCCTCCTCCTCCGTTCCCTCCTCGTCCTAGTGTGCATCGCAGTCTGTGCGCTCCGCTCGGGCGAGTTCTGCTCGGACGCGCGCTCGCGGAGGGAAGCACGCCTGGGAGCTGCTGCTCAGCGCGCCACGCCGCCGGTCCTGGCCCACCACGCTTCGGCGCGACACGCTGACTCGGAAACTGGAACATATACATTACAAGTGGCGGGCTGTTGTTCAGTCCCAGGGCTTTCTTGCGGGTCGGGGGCGACGTCGGGGTGGTGTGGTGTATACTTGTTCCCCCCTTTTCCCGTGGAAACAGCACAAGACGTACACACCAGGATGCCGTAGACTCCATGATCCGTTTTCCTGTGCGGATTGCAGTGCGGGGCCGGAGAAAAGATCAGTGTAGAAAGTTCGGCCCCTTCCTAACTCAGGAGGGACAAAAAACACACAGACACAGTTCATCGGCGATTCCCCAGAAGATATGGGAAACTATGGGAGGTGGGGGGGAAGACAGAAACCCAGAGAATATGGGACAATATGGGGAATGATTTTATTTGTGTGTATTTATGTGTGTGTCCCAGGGCCCCTTCACTGACACCGTCCGGGTCCCCCGGCGTCCACGTCCGGAGCTTTCCCCTGCCCCCCGCCCCCGCGGAGCGGCGCGACACGCCGTCCGCCCGCCGGCGCCGCTGCCTGGACTCGATGCCTTCCCCGCGCCTCGCCCTTCCTCCTCCTCCTCCTCCTCCTCCTCCCCTCCTCTCCTCCTCCTCCTCCTCCTCCTCCTCCTCCTCCTCCTCCTCCTCCTCCTCCTCCTCTCGCCACGGCAGGGTCCGCC